GCGGTGTTTCCCCGCAATGCAGCACCGGGAGCGCTCCCCGCCCGACCCGCAGGGACCGCATCGCCGAGGGGCAGCACGGAGATACCCCCGGTGGCCCACTCCGCGGGGCGGCAGCGAGGCCTCGGGCAGGGGGAGGCCGGCCGGGGCGAGCGGCGAACCCGCCTCAGCATCAACGGGGACGGCGAGAGCCCGGCTCGTCAGGGGAAGCACCGCAATGGGCGGGACGAGGGCGAGGTGGGCCAGCCGGCGCTGCGGAGGGACGCCGGGGGCCCGCAGCGGGCGGGACCGGGCCAGGGAGCGAGGAGGTCGCCCCGCCGCCCCTACGGGGGTGCGTGTGAGAGGGTTCCCGGTCCCCAGGGAGCCCCGCTCCTACCTGCCGCCCAGCGCCGGCGCTCCCGCCGCCATCTCATACCTGCCGCTCCGCCTCCCCATTGGTCCGCCGCACCCCTCCCCTGGACCCGCCCCGCTCGCGATACGCACCGCCATTGGCTACGGCCGCCCCCCCCCGTCACCATTGGCCGGTTCGAACGGACAACAGCCGATCGCGCCGGGGGGGAAACGGCGGCCGCTGCCCCGCGCGCGGCATGCCGGGAGTTGTAGTCTGGCGGTGGACTCGCTGCGGCCCCATCTCGGGGCCTGGGGGGGCGGCAGAGCGGGCCCGAGGGAGCCGGCAGCATGTGGGGTCTTGCTGTGTGGGGAGGGTGAAGGGGGCGAGAAGGCGCAGGGGCCATTTTGGCTGCACTTGAGCATCCCTGGGGTGGCAGGAGCCACCACAGCTCCTTCTTGGGAGGGGAGAATGGCAGCCACCAGCAGGACCAGCGCGGGTGGGCCATGGGGCTGTGCACAGCACCGGTCTGGAGCCGTGGAGGTCCCTGTGGTGCTTTCAGAGCTCTGTGCAAACCAGACACCACAAGCCTTAATATTCAGGAGAAAAATACAAGTTGCAGCTGTTTTATTTCAAGGCCTGAGCCTGCAGAGACCACACCATGTGCTCCAAGAAGCATGAGTTACACCAGCAACTGCAACTCGCATCTCTGCTTGAATATTCTCGGTCTTTGCTCAGCATCAAGTAGAAATTAGAGGAACAGAGACCCTGGAAAGGCAGTCTTATTTCTTTGTTTCCTATTTGGTTGGGGTTTTTTTCTGTTTTGTGTGTGGGTGCATCTGCCTCGCCCCGAGCTGTCCCTGTGCACCGGGGTTTGTAAAGAGCTTTCAGGTAGCAACCAAAAAAGGACAACTTTTTAGAAGCAGTAAGCGGAACTGTAAATCAGAGTGGTGTGGAGACTAGGAATTAATCTGCTTTTTTTTTTTAATTTACTAGATTTCAGCTGGTGTGGTCCCTTGGCATTTTAAATCCCAACACTTAATTATCTTACTGTTGATCATTTAAGCACAAACACCAAGATTCCTCTTATACTGCTGCCCCCAGGAGGGTTTTCCCATCCCTGCACCTTGAGGACCTCCCAGATCTGAACTTTGAACTGGGGAGACCCAGGTATGCCTGTGGAGAGCCCCGAAGGTGTCAGTCACAGTGTCCTTGGAAGAGGTGATGGTTCACCTGGGTGCCCCCATGGGGCTCGTCCGTCCCACTCGGCAGCATACCACAGTGGACACAGCCCAGGCAGGTACTTCTAGGGTAAGGAAACGATAATGTTTTCCTTCTCCTCCTGATTTTAAGCTTTAAAATTCACGTGGAGCATCTACAACTGTTCCAGCCAGTCCAGAGGCCACCCAGCCAGTGCTGGGGGGAGCCTGTTGGCCCTGCCAGCCTCTCCTTAAGCGTGCCCAGCATGTCTGCGGCCACAGCTGGGACATCTCCTGCTTTGCAGCTGGTATCTGCCCTATCTAAGAGCCCTTGGTGACAATTTCCTACACAGGCAGAACTGAACAAGGGTGCACCGTCACTGCCCACTGTATGGGGGGAGCCTGTTGGCCCTGCCAGCCTCTCCTTAAGCGTGCCCAGCATGTCTGCGGCCACAGCTGGGACATCTCCTGCTTTGCAGCTGGTATCTGCCCTATCTAAGAGCCCTTGGTGACAATTTCCTACACAGGCAGAACTGAACAAGGGTGCACCGTCACTGCCCACTGTATCAATGATCAATGCTTATCAATGATCTGGATCACCCTCAGTAAGCTCACAGATGACACCAAGTTGGGTGGGAGCATTGATCTGCTTGAGGGTAGAAAGGTCTTGCAGAGGGATCTAGACAGATTGAAGGGCCAAGGCCAATGGGATGAGGTTCAACGAGGCCAAGTGCCAGGTCCTGCCTTTGGGTCACCCCAACCCCCCGCAGCGCTCCAGGCTGGGGGCAGAGTGGCTGGAGCTGCCTGGCAGAAAAGGACCTGGGGGTGTTGGTCGCCTGTCAGCTGAACAGGAGCCAGCAGTGTGCCCAGATGGCCAAGAAGGCCACCAGCATCCTGGCCTGTGTCAGGAACAGCGTGGGGAGGAGGACTCGGGAGGTGATGGCCCCCCTGTCCTGGGCACTGGTGAGGCCACACCTTGAGGGCTGTGTCCAGTTTTGGGCCCCTCACCACAAAAAAGACCTTGAGGGGCTGGAGCAGGTCCAGAGAAGGGCAACGGAGCTGGGGAGGGGTCTGGAGAAGAAGTCTGATGAGGAGAGGCTGAGGGAGCTGGGGGGGTTCAGCCTGGAGAAAAGGAGGCTGAGGGGAGACCTTCTGGCTCTCTCCAACTCCCTGAAAGGAGGGTGTAGCCAGGGGGGGTCGGTCTCTGCTCCCAAGTCACAGGCCATGGGACAAGAGGAAACGGCCTCCAGTTGCACCAGGTTCAGACTGAAGATTAGGAAGAATTTTTCCATGGAAAGGGTTCTTAAGCCTTGGAATGGGCTGCCCAGGGAAGGGGTTGAGGCCCCATCCCTGGAGGGATTTCAAAGCCGGGTTGCCATAGTGCTTAGAGCCATGGGTTAGTGATGGTTTTTATCAGAGTTAGGGTGATGGTTGGACTGGATGATCTGAAAGGTCCCTTCCAACCCAGACAATCCTATGATTTTATGATTCTGTGTAGCCTGTGGAAAAGAGATGTGTGGTTTAGCAGTGTGCTGTGTCCAGGAAGAGCCTCCAGCTGCCCCTCAGCGTGAGCAACAAAAGCCAGGCATCGCTCCAGGTCCCTGCCTTGAGCTTCTCTGCAGGCAACTGCAAAATATTTGTGGCTGGCACCTGCGTGAGGCAGGAGCCCACGTCCCCCTCACCCTGCCCCACAGCAGAGAGCTGCGCTCAGCCTCCTGCGTCCCTGCCAGGGCCGGCTGCTGCTGGGGAGCAGGCTTGACTCTCAGCCAGCCTCCCTGGGCAGGATGACGTCGCCTCTCCAAGGGTTTCTATTGCATTACATGATTAATTAGCTGATTAACAAGATGTCGTTGCAGAAGAATCTGTTCTCTGGACACCAGCTCAGGCGAACACCATCCTCTGTGCTAATGAAACTCTTCTGTTCCACACAGGCATGCACTAATTTAAGCAACAACATGCAAATGAAGAACAATACAGTGAGTAATCTGGAGCTTTTAAATGAATTAGCTACAGCCTTCTCCAGGCCCTGTCTCCAAGGAGAAAGCAGAAAGACAGACAGATAGCTGTGGTGGGCCTGGACCTGTTACAGGTGTTGGGGGGCTTGGAAGGTGACTGCTGCCTGTAACCCCCTGTCCTGCCCCCAGGGGAGGGAGGGTAACAGGCCAAGGCTACAGAGGAAGATGGATGTAGCTCCTGCTGACTGAACATGGTCAAGAGGTACTGCTGGAGCCCCCTGTCCTGTAAGCCAGGCCGTGGGCTCCCTTCTGGCAGGATTAGAGCAGCAGCACCTCGGCACGGCCCTGGGGCTCAAGGGTCAAAGCCAGAGCCGTGGGTGAGGAAGTAGGAAAGGGACAGTGCTCCTTACAAGGCAGGGCCAATACCAGTACAAGAGCTCCTCCTCCACCCCCAGGCTTTTAAAAGGATCTTGGGGAAAAAAAAAAACAAACCAACAACAAAAAGCATGTAAGAGCCACAAAACTGGATTTGCAGCCTGCAGTAAGAGGCTGAACAAGCACAATCCCTTTAGCTTATTAGGAGACTGAGAAGGGTTGCAATTCCAGCATGTAAGCTACCACGGCAAGAAATGACAAAGGACTAAAGGCTTTTTAATATAGAAGAGGAAGGGAGAGCCAGCTACCTTCACAAATACATGTTCTTTGCAGTCTGAGCAACAGGACCTGTATCCACACGCTCAGATCTACTGGCGTGCTTTAGCCAAACACCATCTTTTGGGCTCTGTGCAGAAATAACTGGACAAAAACAGATGCTGAGGCCAACCTGAGACGGCTGGGCAGCTAAAAAGGTCGAGGATTATTTGCGCTGCTCAAGCCCAGCTGGCAGGAGGCGGCCAGAGCAGAGGAAAGGGATTTTCTCAGCTCTCACGGAAAGGGGAAGGCACGGAGGTTAGCAGTAGCAGTTTTCCAGCCACTTTGAAGAAATTTGCAGCAAACTGTTCTGCCCCACAACCAGGCACAGCTGATATGAGAAAAGCAAGAGGCAGCATCAAAAACAGTTACAGGCAAATAGCAGACATTCCCGCCACGGCACAGAAGAGAGGAGAAGATGCTGCCAAGAGGGAGACTCCACGAGGAAGCTGGTTGTAGCAAAGGACTTTTCACCGTCTGTGGCTTCTCCCTTTGGCCAACCCCACGACTCAGCCCGTCTGCCAGGTGGGCACAGGACACTGCCCTGTGCCCCAGCACTGCTCCTGGCAGCCCCCAAGCGAGCTCCACGCTGGGGAGAGGGCTCCAGCCCAGGCTGCTGCAGGCGTGAGCCCTGTGGGGCACAGCAGGACCCATTGCAGGCAGAGCACAAGGGACAGGGTGCACACTGCTTTTAGGGGAAGGAAAGGATGAATCTGGGCTAGGTAGGAACAGTAGGTATTTATCAATATAGAGAATTCATTACATGTTATTTGCCTCACACACACCCGCACACACACACACACACACACACCCCCTGTGCCAGGCAACCCAGCACCTTTCCTCCAGCACACACACACACACACACACACACCCTGTGCCACTCATAGGAGAGGTCCTCCATCCCTCTGATCATCCTCGTGGCCCTCCGCTGGACCCGTTCCAACAGAGAAGATGCTGCCAAGAGGGAGACTGCATGAGGAAGCTGGTTGTAGCAAAGGACTTTTCACCGTCTGTGGCTTCTCCCTTTGGCCAACCCCACGACTCAGCCTGTCTGCCAGGCGGGCACGGGACACAGCAGAGTGGCCTCACTGCCCTGTGCCCCAGCGCTGCTCCTGGCAGTCCCCAAGCGAGCTCCACGCTGGGGAGAGGGCTCCAGCCCAGGCTGCTGCAGGCGTGAGCCCTGTGGGGCACAGCAGGACCCATTGCAGGCAGAGCACAAGGGACAGGGTGCACACTGCTTTTAGGGGAAGGAAAGGATGAATCTGGGCTAGGTAGGAACAGTAGGTATTTATCAATATAGAGAATTCATTACATGTTATTTGCCTCACACACACCCGCACACACACACACACACACACACCCCCTGTGCCAGGCAACCCAGCACCTTTCCTCCAGGCACAGGAGGGCAGGGCTTGGGCCAAGAGTCCGTAATGCCACAGGGTGGCTTCCCACCAAGCCTCAAACAGACGCAGGCCACCTTCTGCAGAGGAGTGCCCCCTGCTCCACTCATGAAGCCCCCATTCCCTCGTGCCCAGAGGCCACATGGTGTTGTCCGTCCTTGGGCAGGGGCAGGCTGAGCACCTGAAGCTCCTCAGGGGCGCTGGGCCTTCAGACGGTTCCTGCGGCCGGCCTTGGCCCCGCGCTGGGCTCCCTTCATCAGGCCCTTGAACTGGCCCTGCATTTTCGCCCGCTTCCTGGGGGGAAGAAGGAGCAGGAGGCTGGGTTAGCATGGGCACTGGGCACACCTGATGCACAGGGATGCTCCGAGCTCCACAAGGAGCGGTGCAGAGCCTGGCAGGGAGTTCCCAGACCCACTCCCCCACCCCCCTCCACCGTAACAACGAAAAGCAGGATCAAACCCCTGTTTTGGCCCCGTTCCCCACCCCGTGCCATTCCCAGCCAGACTCACCTTCTGTTGAGTTTAGCTCTGTTCAGGGGGATATAGGCATAGGGGTCGAGCTGGCCCTTCTTCTTCACGTCGCCTTTGCCTTTCTGTGGGAAAGAGTGACACAGGAGAAGACGCAGCGTGAGGGGAGATGCATGTGTCTTCTTCTGGTGCAACCCTGGCACCCGGCCACCCCAAAGTCCATGGTGTAGCGGGGTGCCAGCTGAGCACACGGCCCTTGGAGCTGATTTCCCACCCAGGTGATGCTACAGACACCCGCTTTGAGCAAAAACTGGCCACACCAGGACTCCAAAAAGGGCTGGAAATGTTCACAGGTCCTGAATGTTTGACAACTCCTCTCGGAGCAGAGATTTACCTTCTCAGCCTTAGCACTGCTGGAGCAGACCTTCAGCAAACACCCAGTGCTTTTTGCCCCCCAGCCCAGCAGCAATCCTGCCCCAGCAGAGCCCCAGGCATCTCCCCACCCATCTCCTGCCACCCCTCTGATCCCTCACCTTGGATCTGTACTCTGCACCGATGGCTGGCTCCTTGCCCAGCTGCCGGTGGATCCCAGAGCCTCCAGCTGGAAAACAAGGAATGTGTGTTGAAAAGGGGTCCTGGGGCTCCCCCTTCCCATTTCCTGTGCTAGAATGCAGCAGGGCTGGGGAACCTGTTCCTGGTTTTGCCTCCAGTCCTTGGGTGCGAGGAGAGCAGAGAAGGGTGACCATTTCCCACAAGCACAGATTTCTGCTCCAGCTGTCCTGGAGCACCCCAATAAGATGGGGGGTACGTGGTTCTGGCCCCCTGGGGAGCCCCAGACCGGGCACAGATGAAGGACTTACCTCTGTACTTAGGGTAGGTCCCAGCCTCAGCTTCCTCATCGTCTGGCTCCTCTCTGAACCGACGCTTCTGGCTTTTCTTCTGCAGAAGAAGGCAGTGGGGACCCTGCAGCTGGCTTGTCCTTACATTTCTGCCCTCCCACGGACCCCTGAGCTCCTGCTTCCTCCCACGGGGGGCCAGGGGCACATATACTGTCCCCAGCCAGCCTCTCACACCCCTCCAAGCGGCTGGCGCTTGCCTGGTGTCCCCACTGCCCCCTTGGGCAGAGCTGTGCGGCTGCTGTGGCACGGGCAGGGGTTTGGCACAGCTGAGTTCCCCCAGCATCTCCTCAGGACCACAAGCCCCATACTCACACTGCGGAGTCCCACATCTTGCAGCACATCTTCCATCTCCTCGTCTGTTCCTACGGTACAGGACAAGAGGGTCAGTGCAGGATGCAGGAGCAGGGTGCCCCTGCCAAACTGGCACTGGTGGCCATGCCCGCTTCCAGCCTCCTCCTGGTGATGGAGGGGGCTGCCTTCCCTGGGTGGCAGTGACCCAGAAAAGAGCCACTGGGTGTGACACGTAGCCACACCAACCCCTGCTGCTTCCACCCACATTTTCCCCAAGCTCCCACATACGGGTGGGCAGGAAGAAAACCATTAAGAATACCAGAGCAAGACTAGCATGGCCCTCCACCAGTCCAAGCAGTACCTTTGGCTTCATCATCGTCCACCTCATCCTCTTCTTCATGGATGATCAGGCGCCCATCCTCAGACACCTGGAAGTCATGGCTCACTCCTCTGGACCGCTTGGGGCCTGGCTTGGTGGCTGCTCACAAAGAGGTGGGGGTCAGGGATTGGGGAAGGACCCACTCCCAGGGGCAGCTGTACCCCCAGAGCCCCTGTGCATCACACCAGCTCCCGCCCCATCCATCCCACCCCAGCCACATCTGAAGCTCTGCTCCTTACCCAGCACCCGCTGGGACACGTTGGGGTCCAGGAAGTTGAGGGGCTCATCCTCTTCCCCTTCCTTCAGCCAGGCCTGTCCCTTCTGCCGGGCTTGCTTCCTCCTCTCCTTGCTCCGCTGCCGTTCCTCCTCTTCCTCCTCCTCATCCTCTGAGTCAGCCAGGATCTCCTCCATGCTGGTCAAGATGCAGAGAGGATGATGGAAACGGAACAAGCCCAGGGCCACAGACCCCAGCCTGCCCCACAGCGCCCAGCAGCCCTGGAGATGTCCCCACCAGCTGAGCAGAGCAGATTCACCACCAAGCTCTCTGTGAGGGCTGCTCCTTCTTCATCCCTGGCCCATCTTTACCTCTCTCCTCTGGGCTGTGCAGGTGGTGCCTCCTCTTCATCCGTATTTGCAGCTGCCTGCTTCAGGGCGCGCTGCTTGCGGCTTCGGGCTTCCGCCTTGCGGATGTTGACCAGCACCTTGTGGTACTCGGCCGGCAGCAGCCCCTTCACCAGCTCAAAGCTGAGGAGCACACAGAGAGTGGTCAGTGCCCAGTTCCCCCCACACCGCATCCCAGGGATCTCCCCTGCCACCCCAGCGTGTCTCCAGCACAACCCAGCAGCCCCCAGCTCACCCGAACTTGCGGATGAACCTGGTGAAGAGGTTTCGTAGCTTCATACGGAAATGGCGTCTCATGTCGTCTGAAAGGTTCCCAATGGCCTCCAGCTGCCAGGACAGAGACCCTCAAGACCAAAGCACCCCTGCCCTGGGCACCCAGCCTCCCACCCTTCCCTGCATGGCCATCTTGCTCACCCTGGTGCCGACTCCCCATGCCTGCCTCAGGCAGGGCCGTGGGGACATCTACCTGGCTTGGCAGGGCCAGGTCAGGGGGGTTCTCTGGCAGGACCACGCCAGAATTGAGGAGAGGGACCCTCTCCCCCTCACTCCTTCTCAGCCACCGAGAGCAGGGTTGTGCCCCTGGCTCCCGGACAGAAGAAGGGTGCAGCTGGAGATGCTCCCAGCTGCCCAAGGCAGCCCCAGCTCTGTCCCATCACCCTCCTTGGGGCACCCCACGTGGGATCTCACCATCGTCTGGACGTGCTTGGCCAGCAGCTTGGGGTCCACCAGCAGCAGTGTGACTTTGAGGAAGCCCAGGGCCGCCTTCACCACGTCCCGTGTGCGGGAGGCCAGCAGCAGGCAGATGTTCTGCAGGAGCTGCTCCACCACACTCAGCTCCAGATGATCTGTAACCGCGGCAGGGCTCAGCCACAGCCAGCCCCTTCCCAGCACCCACCTTTGCCGGGGGGTGCTGCTCCCGTCCCCCCACCCTCCTCGCTCACCTTTGAACTCGAAGAACAAGCGGGTCAATGCCAGGACTGTGCAGCTGATCATGGTGACGGAGCCCGTGAGCCCTGCGTAGATCAGGAGCAGGAACCGCTCCATGCCCTCTGCAGGAGGAGAACGACTCAGGCCTCACTCGCCCCCGGCTCAGCAGCACCCCTGGCCCGTTCCAGTGGGGTGTGGGACAGAGCTCTGATCCCTCTGGGGCCGGAGCAGCCGTGGGACTGAGCTAGCAGAGCAAGAGCTCACCTTGGGGTGTGGGCCCAAAGCGGATGAAGGCATGCCCCATCTCCACGAGCAACACGAAGGCGTTCTTGCGGGCCCCCACCGACACCTCCTTGGTGCAGAGGATCACCTGGAGGCACACGAGCACATCACAACCCCGTCGTCCCCCTGCCATGGCCAGAATCAGTTGGATCCCCCCAGGGACCACACTCACCTCCGGGACCAGGGCAGTGACAAAGGGCTCGTGCTCTGCGGAGAGCTGCTTCACGATGTGGAGCAGGCACTTCAGGCGGGGCTGTGGGAAGGAACAGCCCAGCGCTGGCACACCCAGGGACACACACCTGGCTGCCCACACCCTGTCCCCTCCTGGCAGGAGCTGAGCTCGGCCACCACAGCCCTTGCTCTCACCCTCTTGGCCGGGGACGCCGCGCTCTTGAGCGAGTCCAGGAGAGCTGTCTGCAGGTCCTGCAGGTGGGAGCGGATGAAGGCCTGGCAGGGGGCATGGGGAGCAGCACACACCTCCTCCAGCACACGGTACGCCTTCTTCTGCATGCTGCGTTCCTTGCTCTGCAGGGACAGCCAACACAGCCCCACCATCAGGGCAGCCCCTCGCCACAGCGTCTCAAGGGACCCCCACAGCACCCAACGCCACCCAGCAGGGACCTGTCCCTTATAGCAGCTGCTCAGCACCCCCGAGCGCGGGTCCAAGCTGGCAGCAAGCAGACAGTGCCCCCCTGCAGCCCTGTGCCTGTCGGGGCTGGGGGCCAGCTCACCTGGAGGGAAGGCTGGATGGTGCAGTACAGGGAAGCCAGGGACTGCTCATCAGCGTAGGGTGCCATTGCCACCACCAGGTCCAGGATGGAGAGTCTGCAGCAGAGAAGGACACTGCAGCACCACTAACACTGCCCAGCCAAGCTGGGACCCCCACTGCAAGTCTCACTGGCACATCCCACGTGGCACAGTATGAGTGCCTCGGAGGAAGCCAGCAGCTTTACCCATTAGGGTGTTACCTGGTAAACTCAGAGCTCTCAGGACTGGTCAGCTTCTCGCTGGCTTTCTGCAGGAACCCACACACCATCTGCAAGGCAGGCACACAGAGCAGGATCAGAACTGACTGAAGGGAGCGCTTTTACGAGAGTTTTTAATCCACCCAGCAAACACTTTGCCATAGGACTTTGTGAAGACCAGAAGCCCGACAGGTCCAGAAAGAGCTGGACAAATTCCTGAAGGGCTCATGCACAATGTGCCAGATGCAGTTGCAAGACTGGGAAATCCCAGACCTCTGGCTGGGAAGAGATCCCTCCTTGCGAGGGCAGGGAAGGGCTGCTCTCTTCCCAGCTTCTTTCTTCCTGTCCTCTCCAGTCAGGCACCCACCAGAACCCCATCAAACTGGGCCAAATGGGAGATTCTGGCCCCAGCCAGCACATCCTGCCCCACCACCCCCTCACCTGGGGATCGGTGACGGTCAAGTAAGCTCGGACAGTGTCCAGCACGGAGCGGCGCTGAGCACTGCTGCCCCCGTCCTCCTCGGACTGGCTGTACACGTTGAACAGGATGGGCAAGAAATTTTTGGCAAAGCGACCCACTTCTGCCCGCTCTGCATCTAGGAAGAGGATGACAAAGGGGTACGGGTCAGTATCTTCCCCCTCTGGGCCACTCCAGGGGACAAGGACCCACCAGGAGGATCTGTCCCCCCCCTTCAACCTGTCTCGCATCCTTTGTGGATGAGGGTGCGCAGGGCTTGACACACGGTGGGGCGCAGGTCCGGGCGCTCGCTGATGGCCATGCCCAGGGTGCGGGCCAGCCCCTTGAAGGACCCCAGCACATCTGTGGGGTGGGTGCAGAAGCCAGGCAGCAGGGTCCAGACCTGGAAGGCAAAGGATAAGGTGGGAGGCCATCACTCTTCACCCGAGTCACCACTCTCCAGCCTGGCACCACGGACATGCCACAGCAGGGCTCCTGGGCACTCCTTGTTACCTGCCACTGCAGTGTGTCGTAGATCTTGGCCTCCACGCTCTTCCCAGCCTGGGTAAATTCCGTGGCTGCAGAAGAGAAGGGGGAGATGAGCAGAGCAGCAGAGTTGGTAAAGCCCTGCTCCGTCCCAGGAAGGGGGAGATGAGCAGAGCAGCAGAGTTGGCAAAGCCCTGCTCCATCCCAGAGAAGGGGGAAAGAAAGAAAGAAGGGGGAAAGAAAGAAAGAAGGGGGAAAGAAAGAAAGAAGGGGGAAAGAAAGAAAGAAGGGGGAAAGAAAGGGGTCCCACAGAGCACCCTGGGGCTCCCAGGAGCCAGGACTGCACCTGCTGGGACCCTGCCGTGCCATCCCTCTCACCTCTGTTCTTCAGAGCAGCCAGCAGAGCAGCAGAGTTGGCAAAGCCCTGCTCCATCCCAGGGAAGGGGGAAAGAAAGAAGGGGGAAAGAAAGGGGTCCCACGGAGCACCCTGGGGCTCCCAGGAGCCCAGGACTGCACCTGCTGGGACCCCACCATGCCATTCTTCTCACCTCTGTTCTTCAGAGCAGCTGCCAAGGGCAAGAAGTAGCTGGTGAAGAAGCCCAGCCGTGCGCCCTGCACGTAGTCCCGCAGCACTGGCAGGAGCCAGCTGCGGGGGAAATCCAGTGTCTCCCTGGGGAGGGAAGGCAGAGGTCAGGGGAGAGGTGGCATCAGCCCCTGGGCACGGGGCACCTCCACCCAGCCCCAAAGCCAGGCACAGGGAAGCTTGGCAGAGCCAAACACCTCCACCACTGCATGGAGACTGAACAGGCTGCAAAATTGCCAGTATCACAGACAGACTGGGATCTGATCAGTTCCCAGTATGAAAACAGGGAGGAAATAGAGAAAATATGAGCCGAAAGGATAATGCTCCAGTAAGGGTGCTGGGGGTACCAGCTGCAAAATTGCCAGTATCACAGACAGACTAGGATCTGGTCAGTTCCCAGTATGAAAACAGGGGGGAAAGAGAGAAAATATGAGCTAAAAGGATAATGTTCCACTAAAGGTGCTGGGTCATTTACACTGGCTCATTGAGAGGTCAGAGAAGATGCAGATGAGAAAGGTACAAGAGGAAAATGGTTTCTCAGCTGGAGATCAGTGTCCTTTGCTGCTGGGAGCGGGTACAGACCCGCTGCCCCACGGCTGTACTCACTCCTTGCCATCGATCTCCAGGGGCACGGCTTCCAGCACCACCTCAGGGCCCATGGCACTCACGGCAGCCCCCACTGCCTGGTCCACTTCAGCCGTGTAGGGAAAGTGTGGGGAGAGACGTAGGTCACAGAGGGACCGGAGACACTGTGGGGACAGGGTAGGTCAGTCACAGAGGAGCCATGGAGGCAGGTCTGGCGTGTGTCACTCACTGTTCCTGCCCAGGGATGCCAGCTGCCCTGTGCGTCCCCGTGCCGAGTGCCAGAGCTACACACACCCTGCCCAGGCACAGGCAGGACAGCGGGCACCAGGACAGCCCTGCTGCACAGCCAGAGAGGGCAACGCAGCCCAGGCAGCAGCGCTGCCACCCCACCTGCCCCCGTGCATGAGCCTGACACCTCTGCGCCCGCCCGGCCTGGCTCACCTTCCTCATGATGGGGTGGCACTGCTTCCCACACCTCCTGAAGAAGACCTCCAGCACCCGCAGCACCTTGTCCCACGCCGCGTGGAAACGATACGTCAGGCCCTCCTCCACTGATCTAGGGAGGAGAGAGGAGATGGTCACGCTGGCAGCGACCAGGACCGATCAGGGAGCGGGCAGAGGGTGCTCAGAGCTCAGCCAGCCCCTCGAGGACAGTGTCTCCCACACCACGGCTCCTCACCTGAACATCTTGCAGAGGTAGCTGGCAGGGGCTGGGGCAGATGCAGAGACGGTGCCCAGGTCATCCATGTGGGGAGCAACGCACTCGGTCAGGAGTATCTGTGAGGACAAATAGGGAAAATAAGGCAGCAGTGGGAAGTGGGAAGTGCCCGGAAAGCACAGAGGGGCACACTGCCCCCCAGTGGGCAGAGGGTGCTCAGAGCTCAGCCAGCCCCTCGAGGACAGTGTCTCCCACACCACGGCTCCTCACCTGAACATCTTGCAGAGGTAGCTGGCAGGGGCTGGGGCAGATGCAGAGACGGTGCCCAGGTCATCCATGTGGGGAGCAACGCACTCGGTCAGGAGTATCTGTGAGGACAAATAGGGAAAACCTCGGGGACAATGTGTCCCACACCACGGCTCCTCACCTGAACATCTTGCAGAGGTAGCTGGCAGGGGCTGGGGCAGATGCAGAGACGGTGCCCAGGTCATCCATGTGGGGAGCAATGCACTCGGTCAGGAGTATCTGCGAGGACAAATAGGGAAAATAAGGCAGCAGTGGGAAGTGGGAAGTGCCCGGAAAGCACAGAGGGGCACACTGCCCCCCAGCAAGCCCCAACCCCCCAGGCAGAGCCCCCTGAGAGGAGAAGGGCACCCAGGCACGGTACCTCCAGGGTCTGCGCTGCTGCTGACACCACCTGGGAGTGTGGGGAGAGGAAGCAGTTCATGGCGGCCGAGAAGAGCCGGGGCAGGTGAGCCCAGCACAGGTCCTTCTGCAGCCTGGAGAAGAGAGACTGGGTGAGTGAGAGAACAAGCAACTGCTTCTCCCCCTGCCCAGTTATAGAATCATATGGGGTTGGAAGGGACCTCTGGAGATCATCTCCTCCAACCCCCTGCCAGAGCAGGGCCACCCACAGCAGGTCCCACAGGAACGTCTCCAGGTGGGTTTGAATGTCTCCAGAGGAGACTCCACCACCTCTCTGGGCAGCCTCTACCAGGGCTCTGCCACCCTCACAGCAAACAAGTTCCTCCTCATGTTTAGGTGGAACTTCTTCTGCTCAAGTTTGTGCCCATTTCCTCTGTCCCTGGGCACCACTGAAAAAAGACTGGCCCCATCCTCCTGACACCCACCCTCGAAGTATTTATAAGTATTGATCAGATCCCCCCTCAGCCTTCTCTTCTCCAGACTAAAAAGCCCCAAGTCCCTCAGCCTGTCCTCATCACAGAGATGCTCCAGGCCCCTCATCATCTCTGTAGCCTCTGCTGTCCCCTCTCCAGCAGTTCCCTGTCCTTCTGGAACTGGGGAGCCCAGAACTGGACCCAGTGCTCCAGCTGGGGCCTCCCCAGGGCAGAGCAGAGGGGCAGGATGACCTCCCTCCACCTGCTGCTCACACTCTTCCTGATGCCCCCCAGGATGCCCTTGGCCTTCTTGGCCACCAGGGCCCATTGCTGGCTCATGGGCATCCTGTTGTCCACCAGGACTCCCAGGTCTTTCTCCTCAGAGCTGCTCTCCAGCAGGTCACCCCCAACCTGTGCTGGTGCAGGGGGTTATTCCTCCCCAGGTGCAGCACCCTGCACTTGCCCTTGTTGAATTTCACCAGGTTCCTCTCTGCCCAGCTCTCCAGCCTCTCCAGGTCTTGCTGGACAGCAGCACAGCCTTCTGGTGTGTCCGCCCCCTCTCCCAGTCATCAGCAAACCTGCTGAGGGCACATTCCACCCCTTCATCCAGGTCATGGCCCCTGCCCGCACCTGCCCAGGTTGGTGTGTGCCCGTTCCATGGTGGACAGCCAGGTCAGCAGCGGCTGCAGGTCACTCGTGCTGGGCACATAGTCGTAGAGGGCCTGGGGAGGCAGAGGGTGGGTAAGTGGGCACTGCAGCACCGCCAGCCCCATCGCTCGCCGTGCTGGCACCCCACACTCACGGTGACGATCTGGGCGTTCAGCTCAGCCGGCAGGCAGGTCACGTTGGCCTGGGCACTGAAGAGGCTGTGGAAGGCTTGCATGGCACACGCCGTCACCAGCTGTGAAGGACATGGCATCAGGACGGGGGCTCCATGATGGGCAGCACCCCTTCACACCCTCTGCCCCCTGTCCCAACGCAGGCTCTGGCTGGGGAACCCCAGCGTTGCTACAACTACACTCTTTTCAGCCTTCCTCTCCCATGGCAGGCAGGGCAGCAAGACCAGCTCCTCCGGGCTCCTCTGCATTTCCAGGCTCCCAGCCAGCAGCTGAGGGGGTTCAAGCCCTTCCAAAATGCAGCCAAGGGGGAAAGGGGCTGCCCTCGCCACCCCTGGCACTGGGACACTCACCACGTGGCTGAGAGTCATGACTCGGAGCAAGGTCTCACAGCAGGTCTTCACCACGGCTGCGGGGAAGCAGGGCAGCAGGTCCCGCAGCAGGGTGAGGATGTGGAGGGTGGTGGTGGCCTCCTTGGTGCCTGTGGGAGCAGAGCAGAGCAGTGCCTGAGCCCGTGTCACCCCATGGCAAAGCCCTGCCAGAGGCAAAGCCACCTGTGACAGCACTGGGACTGACCCATGGAGCTGGGGTGAACAACCCACGGCTTCTGGGAAGAGCAGAGCAACACACAGATGGCTGAGGACCCCCTAAAATGCTTTAGGTGCCCCACCAGCATCTCATACCCTCCCTAGAAATCCAAGGTACTGCACCCTCCCTCTTTCCCTTCAAGTCCCTATGAACTATCCCCTCTCTCCCATGAAGAGAGAGAGAATGAGAGCCAAGCCATGCGCCCCCCCCACACTCATATGAACTATCCCCTCTCTCCCATGAAGAGATGGAGAATGAGAGCCAAGCCATGCACCCCCCCTGCACTCAGCTGCAGACCCCTTGCTCCAGCACCCCATACCTCCGGCTTTTTCGATCTCCTGCACACAGAACTTAGCGGTGGAAGGTGCTGCGGGGTGATGCTCAGGGGCCATGTCTCCAAACATGAACTCGCTGCCCCTCAGGACGGAGCACACACCGTGCTGTGCTGCTTTCCTCACCTGGGAGAAGGAAACCCCGGCTGGGTAGGAGCCACAGAGCCCGGGACACACAGCCAGCCTCAGAAACGAGCCCCAAGGGCAACAGCATCCCTCGCCAGGGGAAGTGGAGCTCACCTTAGGCTTGGTATGAACACAGAAGCTCAGCAAGCCGTGATAGACCTGGAGGGTGACGGGGTAGCTCCAGGCTGCCAAGTCCTGCTTCCTCAGCAGTGTGGCCAGGCAAGAGAGGACCTACAAGGGAGCAGCAGGGCCGTTAGCATCACCCCTGTCTCACTGCAACAGCCTCAGGGCAAGCACCCAGCACCACCCCACAGCAGCAGGTCCCACCCAACTCCCACCAGACCCCTGGCCAGAGCTGGCACTGCCAGCTGCCTCTTGGCTACTCACCCATCGCAGGGCAGAGGTGGAGCTGTTGCAGGCCTGCGAGGAGACGATACCCATGAAGGCTTTTGAGGCATCTGAGAACTTTTTTATAAGCACAGGACTTGGGACTCTGTCAAGAAAAAGAGGTGCATCAGCAGCGTGAGGAGCAGGCAGCCAGCAAGCAGTCTTGCAGGGAACTGCATCCCCAGCCCACTCTGGTTGGGTCATCTCTCCAGCCTGGAAAGGGGGACAGTGCCAGCCCCTCTTCCAAGATGGGCCTGGGCTGCTCTCCCTACTCCTCTACCAGCCACTCACCGCTTTAGGACAAGGTTAAGCAGGTAGGCGACAGCAGCCAGCGACTCAGGGGACTCCACGGCCTCCAGCGTGGTCATCTGGGAACACAGGAGGGGTAAGTGAGGGGGAGTGGGGGTTTGCACCAGCCCTTCCTCATCCCCAGCACTTAGGGATGAGGGCAAAGAAACCAGGAGCAACGCAACACCTAAAGGACTGCAGGGCCTCAGCTACGAGCACAGCACCTTCCACCACCAACCGCCCCGAGAATCCACTCACGCTGCCAACAGAAGCTTCCTCCCACCACCAGCACTCACCAGTGTGGCGAAGTACTCCGTCTCGCTCTCCTTGCCCCCCCGGGAGCGGATCACCTCCGTCACCGCTGCCAGCACGGCGCAGATCTATGAGCGGGAAGTGGAGCAGGTCAGCACCCTCAGCCTGACAACTGAGGGGGGGGCACCCCTGCTGGACACCCACCCCCCAGCCCCGCTCCTGCCCGTACCTCTTTGTGAGCGGCGGAGTTGGACTCCCAGAAGCGCTGCACCTTGCTGAAGGTGACGTTGGTGCAGTCGCTCAGCCCGCTCAGGAAGGTGCCAGAGGACTTCTCCGTGGCAGCCTCCCCGGCGTCCTCCTCCTCCTCCATGCGGAGCCGAGCGCTGGCACTCGGCCGCTCCGCACGCGAGGGCCCCGACTGCAGCTCATTGTGCAGCTTCACCGCGTCCACCGTCAGGTTGCTCTTCTCTGTGGGGATGAGGAGGCACAGTCAGGACCTCAGAGCCACCTTGCTCTGCCACCCACCGCAAAAACCCCCCAACACCTCCCCTCCTTCCCAGACCAGCTCGGCTGAAGCTCATCTCCAGCACGTGGGACGTGGATGCTGCTTCCCCCCAACAGGAGAAGGTACAGCAATAAGTGGAGAGAGCTCCTAATTCCTGTGAAAATAAACCAGGGCACATTCCAGCCGCCTGCTCTGACAGGAGAGCATCACACCCTCACTAACACGCCCTCGCTTGTACCAGGGCTTTAATGCTGACGTGCTCCTGTGCTCTGCCCCATTTATCATAAAATGGTCAGAGTTGGAAGGGACCTTAAAGACCATTGAGTTCCAACCCCCTGCCCTGGGCAGGGACACCTCCCACCAGACCAGGTTGCTCCAAGCCCCATCCAGCCTGGCCTTGAACCCCTCCAGGGATGGGGCAGCCACAGCTTCTCTGGGCAATCTCTTCCAGGCTCTCACCACCCTCACAAGAAAGAATTTCTTTCTGGAATCTCATCTAAATCTCCCCTCTTTCAATTTAAAACCATTACCCCTCGTCCTATGGCTCCACTGCCTGATCAAGAGTCCCTCCCCATCTCTCCTGTAGCCCCTTCAGGTACTGGAAGGTGCAGGACCCTGCACTTGGCTTGGTTGAACTTCATGAGGTTTGCACAGTCCCACCTCTCCAGCCTGTCCAGGTCCCTCTGGATGGCAACCCTTCCTTCCAGCATGTTATCTTCTGCTTGGAGCCCTGGCAACCATATGGGCAGGGCACACGCTCGGTGTCCCTCTGTCCCCCCAGACACCAGCGTGGGGCGGGCTGTGCGAGGGCAGTGCCTGCTGCAGACACGTCTCTTCCTCTGCAGGACAGAGATCTCCCCTTCCAACAGGAGGGAGATTTGTCATCCCCATCACAAGGCCTGCCAAAGAGGCATGTGCCGCCTTCCTCTCCCTGCCGGACACCGCAGCAGCACCCACAGGCGCGGCCACCGGCTTTTGGGACCCGAAGACACGCCGTTAGGCCGCGGGCTCGGTTCTGCTCCCCGGTGCTGCCTCTGCCTCCTGGGGCCGCAGACAGCTCATGGTCGGCGGCTCCAGGCCCTCCTGTCCCCAAAGGCTCTCCCCGCAGCCCCCACCGGGCACAGACAGGGAGCCGCCCGTACCGGGGACCGCCGCCCGTACCGGGGACCGCCGCCCTCCCTCCCGCCCGCCTCCCCGCTCTCACCCGCCGGCCGGCTGTAGAAGCGGCTGCGCGCTGCCAGGCGGTGCTGGCGGGTCTCCGGGTTGCTGTCGCTGCTGTGGCCCTTCCGCCACCGCTTCAGCTTGGCGGCGGCCCCCGAGCGGAGCCGCCCGCTCCGCGCCATGCTGGAACCGGCTCCACGTGCCGCACCCCCACAGCTCACTGCCATTTCCGCTTCCGGCGCCCGCCGCCATCTTGAGTGAGGGCACGGCTGCCCTCACAGGGCCCTCCGCCTACCGGCGGGGCGGGGGGGGAGCGAGGGCGGGGAAGCTAAGCAGGGTCGCGCCCGGTTGGGGCTTGGATGGAAGACCTGAGGGGCTTAGAGGCTGCTGTCAGCAAGAGCGGCTGCCCGACACCCCATACAGGGGGGAGAAGGCACGGGGGGCGCCGCACCCGTACGGAATGGCTAGAATGGCGTATGCATGAGAGAGCGCGCGAGCCCCGGCCTCCCCTCAGCTCCGCTCCGCCGCCATGGCCGCATACCGCCTCGTCCTCGTCCGCCACGGCGAGAGCGCCTGGAACCTGGAGAACCGCTTCAGCGGTTGGTACGATGCCGATCTCAGCCCTGCCGGTCAGCAGGAGGCGCGGCGCGGCGGCGAGGCCCTACGAGGTACCGGTTACCGGTGCGGGGGGGGAGGGGGGGTGTGAGGGTGGGGTGCGGCCTAGTGCGGCCGCCTCGGGCCTGAGCAGGTCACTTTGGGGCCCTTTGGGGCCCTTTGGGGCTGGGTGGTGGTCTCTGGTACCGACGGGAGAGCCTCTGGTACCTGGCGGGGGGGGATGGGGGGAGCGGTTCTCCGGTACCGGTCGGGTCCCCGCTGTTCCAGGCCCCCCCCTTAGGTCGGGCCGGCAGCGGCGGGGACGCTACCGGTACCGGCACAGGGCCGCCGCCGCCCTTGGCCCCTCACCGGTTGCGTAAGAGCCGGCGTTCACCTCCCCGGTGTTCCTCCCCCTCGTCTTTTTTTTCAGACGCCGGCTACGAGTTCGATATTTGCTTCACCTCGGTACAGAAACGGGCCATCCGTACCCTCTGGACCGTTCTGGATGCTATCGATCAGATGTGGTTACCCGTTATCCGAACCTGGCGCCTGAACGAGAGGCACTACGGGGCTCTCACCGGTTTGAATAAGGCCGAGACGGCGGCAAAGCACGGCGAGGCGCAGGTGAAGATCTGGAGGCGCTCGTACGACATCCCCCCACCGCCCATGCAGTCCGATCACCCCTTCTACAGCACCATCAGCAAGGTAAGGCCCATTGGTCTTCAGCCATTTTACTGGGAGGCTCCCGAAAGTCACCTTAGATCCCTGCAGTGTGGTCTGGGCTCCTCTGTGTGGTCTGGTTTCCTGTGCATGGTCTCCTCTGCAGCAGCCAGTGCCGTGATGTGTGGTGCTGGCTGGCACTGGGCTAAGTTTGTCTTTCTCTCTCCCTGGGGAGTTGAACCCCTGAGCGCTGCAGGGACAGATTCAAAGCCAGGGGAAGGGAGGTGGACATGGGATGGGACGGGATGGGACAACACCTCTGTTAATCATTAGTCCCATGACCTGTGCATGGATGTTTGCTCTGGTCTCTTCATCCAGAGCAAGCAACGTGTGGCTTTCCCCAGGAGGGGCTCACAGCCACAACTGTGGCTGATTGCAGCCTCAAACCTCAAAGGTGCTTCCTTGCTTCCAACCTCAACTTTGCCTACACGTACCAGGTCCCCAGGCAGAGAATTTGGGAGGGTGAGGGGGATGAAGGCCCCACTTCTGCCTTCCCACTGCGTTTGGCTGCTGTGTGAAGGTGGTTGTTCCCCCAGGACCGTCGCTATGCTGACCTGACGGAGGACCAGCTGCCGACGTGCGAGAGCCTGAAGGACACCATCGCCCGGGCTCTGCCCTTCTGGAACGAGGAAATCGTCCCTCAGATCAAAGAGGGAAAGAGAGTCCTTATCGCTGCCCACGGCAACAGCCTGCGCGGGATCGTCAAGCACCTGGAAGGTACGTGCTGGGGGTGTTGTGGGGGTGTTGTGGGGGTCTCCCCGCTGCCCCAGCTGGTGCTGTGTGAGCAGGGCCACAAGTGACAGCACCTCTGTGTTTGCAGGCATGTCAGAAGAGGCCATCATGGAGCTGAACCTGCCCACCGGCATCCCCATCGTCTACGAGCTGGACAAGAACCTGAAACCCGTCAAGCCCATGCAGTTCCTGGGGGATGAGGAGACGGTGCGCAAGGCCATGGAGGCCGTGGCTGCTCAGGGCAAGGTCAAGAAGTGAGGGCGGGCAGCAGGCTAGCACGTAGTAGAGCCCCCCGCTGTCCCCCACCCCTCTGTGCACATCCCCCCACAGCCGTAGGAACTTGGAGCTGCGGAGCTGGAGCAGCTCCTCAGGATTAGGCCCGTTCCCTCGGGACCAGGCTCCCCTCTGCAGACAGCCTGGGGGCGAGGGGCCGAGCGCGGAGGTTTGGTGTGAAGGGGAGCCCTGGCTCTGCCGGGCAGCGCCCACACACCTCTCCGTGCCAAGATCCCAGTCCTTGGGCCCCGTCTGCAGGGGGACGCGTCGAGCGATCCCTTGCCGTACCAGGCTCCTCCTTTGCTTTGCTTCCCCGGCAGCTCTCGTCACCCCGTTACTGTAGTTTTTGTTGCTTGATTTAGTCATCTCGGGAGCAGCGGGATGAGCGCGAGACAGGCGGTGATGAAGATGGGTACCCCCTGCCCTCGGGGTGCGTGGCACAGGGACTGGGATGCGTGGCTGCTGAGAGGGTTGTATTTTGGTGCATGCAGTACAGCACCCAGGGGTGGCACCCGTCACTCTGGACCTAGCTCTGCTTTAACTTATTGCCTTTGGACAAGGGCAAGGGAGGGAGCCTGGTGTCTGGAGGCCCGTGTCCGCCACGTACTTCCCCCAGCAAAGTCCATCCTGGTCCTGCTGGAGAAGCAGGTGCCGCTGTGCCCTATCCCCCTGTCGCTGTGGCCTCCCCCTCCGCCGGCGCCGCGAGCCTGGGCTTGCACGGGGTCAGTGTTAACTGTTCAACCATAGCAGCTGTCTTGTTCCGGTTCAATAAAGAGTCATGCGCAATAACCAGGTGCCTGCGCTTTCCTCCGCCGTGTGCCCCGGGGCTGCGCCTCCCTCGGGCCCCGTCACACGCCTGTGAGGCAGCAGCGGCCACCGGGCACAGTTGTGGGGAAGAAGAGGTGTTCTTGGGGGAGCAAAGCACGGCTTTGTGGGGGTGACACCCTGCCATTGGAGCAGGGCAGGGGAGGTGTTCTTGGGGGAGCAAAGCACGGCTCCCCAGTCACTGCTGTTGGAGCAGGGCAGTGATGGTGCCTCTGGACTGGGCACTGGTGAGGCCTCACCTCCAGGGCTGGGTTCAGTTCTGGGCCCCTCACCACAGGAAGGACATTGAGGGGCTGGAGCGTGTCCAGAGGAGAGCCACCAAGCTGGGGAGGGGTCTGGAGAACAAGTCACACGAGGAGAGGCTGAGGGAACTGGGCATGTTGAGTTTGGAGAAGAGGAGGCTGAGGGGAGACCTCATTGCCCTCTACAGCTCCCTGAAAGGAGGGTGTGGAGAGGTGGGGGTTGGCCTCTTCTCCCAAGGGAATAATGCCAGGAGCAGAGGAAATGGTCTGAAGTTGGGGCAGGGGAGGTTTAGATGAGATATTGGGAAGAATGACTTTGCTGAGAGGGTGGTCAGGCACTGGAACAGCCTGCCCAGGGAGGTGGTGGAGTCACCATCCCTGGAGGGATTTAAGAACCGTGTAGATGTGGCACTTCAGGGCGTGCTCTAGTGCCCGAGATTGTGGGGTGGGGTGATGGGGTGTTGGTTTTTTTGGTTTGGTGGTGTGTGGTGGTGTTTTTTTTTGTTTTTAATGGTTGGACTCAATCTCGAAGGTCCCTTCCAACCATGAAGATTCTGTGATTGGAAAGGCTCTGGGTGGGGCAGGCCCTTGTCTCCAGAGGTGGGCAGGGCACGTGTGGCTGAGGAGATGGGGCGCCCCGGGGTTGAGCACTGGTTATCAGTGCAGGGAGCCGGTTATCGGTGCAGGGAGCCGTGCCTTCCCCCGCAGCTGTGGGGGAACCAGCACCACCCAGCCACAACCCAGCGCTCTGGGGGGCTGCTCTCGCTGTGGCAAAGCCGCTGGGATGTTCCCCTTTCCAACACGTGCTTCCTCCCAGCTGCAGCGCTGGGGAAACCGTTCCCCCCTCCCACAGCCCCACAATGGGAGCCAGACCCTGGGGGGCAGCCCCGGCCACCCCCCCGGGCTATAACCCAGCGGAGCACACAGCTCTCAAAATATATTTTATTATCCACAGAGAAAATCCATCCTGCTGGCAAAGGGCCTGTCAGGCTGCTCCGGCCTCTTGCACGCATGGAGGAGGAGGAGGAGGCTGGAGCCCCAGGGCTGCTCTGGCCCCCCAGCCCCAGCAGCCCCTCGCCCCACAGGGCCCCCTGCTATGTCTGGAGGAACTGGGGCTGCACGCGGGCCACCTTACGGAAGTCCTTGGTGTGTGTCCGTGGGCACTGCATCTCACACCAGCTGATGGGCACCATCTGCACCCCTGGGGGACACCACCCGTCAGGGGGGTCCCTCCCTTCCCGAAATCCCATTTCTCCCCACGGAAAGGGAGGAAGCAGACCCCCCCTGAGCCCTACCTGCCTCGCTGCGTGCCACCACCACCCCCAGCTCGTTCTCCGCCGTGCTCAGCAGGTAGTTGGACTGCGCGTCCCCCAGCGAGATCTGGGCGGAGGGGGGGTTAAGGGAAAAGTGTCCTGGAGGGAGGGGACTTGAGCTAAACCCCCAGCCCTCCCAGCACCAGGGGAAAGGATACGACTTTGGCCAGGACTATGTCACCGGGACGGAAGCTCTTGTACACTTCTACCTGCAAAA